CTAGTTCTTATAATCATATTAATCATGAATATAAGCTTATAAAGTATCTCTCTGGCTCTCCCTTACAAACAAATAAAATAAACTGTGTTTTTAAGTTCCACCTTTGAAAATTTGATTTCCGGAAACTTCTGTGATCAATGATTTTTTGAAACGTCTGGACCTTCGATCTCCGGAAACTTCCGGATCACTGTTAAAGAAAAATCCGGAAATCCGGATTTTTTCCGGAGCACAATCAGCCATGACAAGTGTTTTCAACAAGATTGGCAAGTTTCTGCCGAGGTGGATAAAACCACTGGTCAAAACCGGTTATAACTGGTATGGCAGAAATTCAGAAAATGACATAAAAGTAAGTACTACTGAGATTGGCATACAATGGATAATTCATAGAGAAAACAATTAAATGTTAAACAAAGTACAATTTATGGTCACTATAGATGTAGAAATATTTTAACTAATGAAATTGCTGTTTAGATTTATGAATCACTGAATCTAACCAATTATATTGCCTCTTACATACAGCAAAGATTAAAACTGTTACTGTTTTAATAATTGAATTGTTGCCATGCAAATTATGTCTTGGAAAAGAAAAAAAAACTATTTGAAAATCGCTCTATTCAGTTATGTTAAGAGTTAAATGATAATAATTACTGAATTACTGAATAATTACTGAGTTTAATGTAATAAACTAAAATCTAGTATTTATATTTATTATTACATTACTTTATTCTTTATTTTATATAAATATTTGATATACTGCACTCTTTATATTTAATATAAACAAAATAATATATATTTACAAACAATGAATTAAAAAGTTTGTTACAGTTACATGAAGTTAAATTTTTCAGTTTACTTAAACAAAATGTCATTATGCAATTACTAGAACTAATATAGACGTTTTTTTTAAGTTTCTGCCAGTTTTTACTGGTTATAACCAATTTCTGCCACTGGCATGGCAAAAACCAATTTCTGCCAACAAAAAGCCAACCCTGGTTTTCAACTATGAATCTTAGAAATAATCATATCAGATGTAGACTAACAGACAATCATTTAGCCTTAAAATGAGTACATCTCACTTCAAACCTCAATATAAGGAACTTTAAAAAATGAAATCGCAATTTCATTCAACTCATCAAATACTTAAAATAAAACTTATATATATCATTTTTTTAATTTTAGATGTTTTTACTTGGCCCCCCAAACTTTTTTTTCGCGATTTTTTGCCCTCGACCAAAAAAGTTTGCCCACTCCTGGTCTAGTGCAACTAACCAATTGATCTGCAGCCTTATAAACCACCCATCATCAAGTATAATCTTTTACGTCACACATCATTTTTCTTTATATTAATCTATAAATACTCACTTTTCTAATACAGTAGAGCGCCGATTATCCGAACTGCTCGGGACCGAACGTGGTTTGGATAATGAAAAGTACAGATAATTGGCAAGTTGTTTAAAATCTAGTTTAAATGATTATTACTTATGCACTAACTTCCCTTCACACTTTTTCTAAGCTTAGGACTGGCAGTACTATCTAAAATAGCTCTGGCGTGTTTAAAATCTTTTTTCTTTCAATTTTTAAATATTTTTACTTATTATTATTTTTTTTACTTTTCTTAAATTTTGAATTATTCTTATCATATTTCAGCTTTTCATAATTTTTTTGTCAATTACTGATTTTACCACATTTTTCTTTATTTACCATTGCAAAAGAAATCCAGCAGACTTTTGTTTCAAAGAAGATGCTCTTTTTTAAGCAGCCATATCCCTTATTCTTTTTAAGTAAATCAACTGCACTCGATAAACATCATTTTGACGTTCTAGCCAATTCATTGCAATATCTAATGAATTGTATGCTTCTAGATGAGAAGGTCCACTATCTTGAACTTGATCACCAATTTATTCCAACTGTGGAGTTCCAATTTTCATTCAAAATTTCAGCAACAATTTCCTCATTATTTAAAATTTGAAATCCTGAGTCGTTTTCAGTGTCTCGACACCAGTCTTCTATTTTTTCTGCTGTATAAACTGGCATCTTTTCATCCGGAAGATCTACTGGTTCAGAAACTTCAAGTTTCGTTTTTCTGCTAAGAATTTTATTCCAAGATTTAAGATTCCAAGCACTGTAATCATTAACCATAAATGACAACTACCCATCCCCCAATTGTAGAACTTCAGCACTTATTTACTCATAAACTCCTTTTGCGTTCGCAGACTGTCAAAATGAAGCTCGCACTCTTGGAAGACAATTTTCAGTTGAAGAGGGCTAAAGGGGTATGTAAGTTTAACTGTATAACAATACATGTATGTATAGCTACTATAAGAAAACTGCTAAAAAAAGGATGTAAATTAAATATGGTCATCAGATGGAGTGGATATGATTTATTCTTCTAAATTTGAAAAATTGTCGGTAAGTTAAAAAGTACTCTAAACTTTAAAAAAAAAATTAATTCGGACATAGTTCGGATAATTGGACGTTAAGATAATAGGCGCTCTACTGTACTTAGTTTCAGTATTGGAACAGTTTTATTTTTGAACAAAAATCTCATGATTTTTAACTACAACCCCTATTTCTTTTTTCTTCTTCTTAAATTGAAGCTGCTAAATAAGGCATAGCAAAATAAATAAAAAGGAAAGAAAGCAGCTTTATGAAGTAATCTGGTTTTGAACACTTTCAACTTCCTTGTACTATTCTATTCATATCAGAATTTCAATAAGTCTTCTTTGTATTTATCAATAAAAGTTAAGCTTTCGGCTAGGCTATCAGCTTTCTACACATTGACCTATTTTTGAACTAAAATCTTATGACTTTCCATTTCAACTACTGCTACTGTGCCAGTTGTATCTAAAGAAAACAATGCCAAAAAACATGTTTAAACCAGTAGCATCCAATTAGTTTTTCTAACATAACATACCTTTCCATATAATTCTATTTGTGTTATCAGAAATTCAATTAGCTCATCAAAAATACTAAAGGCTCATAATAACTTCAGATTAACTAGGTTTAACTACAAAAAAAATAATGCTTAATAACTACCTTGTTATGCATTTTACAATAGAATTAGTTTCTTGTAACAATAAAGAATCCTAACAAAATAGAAAATTTATCATTTCTTAGAACACTTTTTCTCACATCTCTAGAAGCCAAAATAAATCCACAGCTAAGATATAGGTAGCTAAGAATGAAAAAAAAGAAGACATTTTTTTTTTTTATGAAAACAAAGAGTTGATAGAAGGAAAAATATGAAAAGAAGAAATCCTAAAAGACAAATCTTCAAGATTATAAATATTTTAAGACATACACCAATTAGATTTCTTTCAAATAGTAAGTTAGTTTATAGTTAGGTTAGGTAGGTAATTAGTTAATCTATTAGAAGACTGAAATGAGAATAGCAATTTTAATAACAGGAAATTCAACTATAGGGTAAAAGAAACAACTATAGTCAAAGAAACAACATAATGAACTATAAATATATTTACCTTCTCTCTCAAATCAGACAAAACATCTAACCACAAGTCTTGTATAAATCCCTTGTCTCTTATTATTTCATATATTTTAGTAATGTCAACAGCATTTTTCATGAGATTCTTCTTTGAATTCTTCTCCATTGTATAATAGTTATTAAAATTATGCTTATATCTGTGTTCGTTTATTAGAATGACTAAACCTCTGTGAGGAAAAAAAATAGGGTAAATATAAGCATGATAGGAGTGATAAGAACATAAATTATATTCGCATTTGGTAGTTAGATACAAATCATAATTACATTTTTATAAAATAATCATCATAATAAATATAAATCAATGCAAAAAAAAAACTTATGTTGAGAATTTACCTTAATATTTCTTTCACCCATTAAATAACAAATTAGAAGGAGAGTAATCACCGTATCGGGCCTGCTCGCGGTTTTAAAACTTTTTCTTCGTCTGTTTTTTTTTTTTNGTGAAACTACCGTTTTTCCTAAAGTTGAATTTGTGAAGGTACCGCTAAACGGTAGTAAATTCGGCCTGGACAGACCCCTGAAATTACATTCGCATTTGGTAGTTAGATACAAATCATAATTACGTTCTTATAAAATAATCATCATAATAAATATAAATCAATGCAAAAAAAAAAAAAAAAAACTTATGTTGAGAATTTACCTTAAATATTTTCACCCATAAAATAACAAATTCGAAGGAGAGTAAAATCACCGTATCGGGCCTTCTCGCGGTTTTAAAACTTTTTCTTCCTCTGTTTTTTTTTTCTGGGAAGAGGAAATATGCACCTGGGTTCTTTTTATAATTTTATTTTTTAAATAAATAATCTTTTAACTAGTTAATTTTATGGCATGCGATTTTTTTTTTTTACTGATATTCACTAGTTTTTATAAAAGTATTTGTAAAGTATTACAGTTAAATAAAATCTGAAATGGAATGAGGGGGAATTTTAAGGAAATTCAAGTTCAAAAAAGTTAATAGTTTTATAAATTTAGAAATATTTTTTTAAAATCTAATTATTCTTAAGTATATCAGCTATAAAAAGAAAATAAGAAACGGAATTTAACAATTTAAAATTTAACTTAAATTTTAATGTATTTAAATTTTCATGTCTAATTTTTTCTTTTAGCATAATACTTTACTTCATTCTTTAAGTTCATTAGCAAAATGAAAATTGTGAATCTCAATAATTATTTTAAGTTTTCAGTAGCAAGTTTGCTAAAAAATTACAAATGAGATTTTTATGAAAGTTAATAGAATTTTCATTAAGAGTCATTTATTGATAAAATTTTATCAAAAAATGATTTTTGAGGATATTTTAACATTAACCAACTATCAATATCTAGCCCATAATTTTTTATATCAGTTCCCTGTCTTCAATCTTTTACCATCTTAAAAATAACTAGCATTTTATGAATAAATTCTAATGTTTCTATTGCTGCAGTTTAACTATGATCAAAACTCTAATCTATTTTCCTTATAAAACCTAAATTTATTAATTGATGGTGTAATTTGCATTGAGCTTTAAGATGAGAATTGACATAAAATAAGTCAAGTATTTGCCTGTTTGTATAAATTAGAGAGGAAAATGTTTGATAACTGTTTAATCAAGTGCCCTGTATCAATCCATTTATGTCAAGATAAATTTTACACTGTTATGATTGATACTATTAAATTAAAAGAACTAGTGCATAAAAAATAAATTTTGATAAAAACTTTGCTACACTTTAATTATACAATGCAGTGTAAGGAATTAGGAGAAAAAAAAGATTATTTATATACTAATTTCAAGTTATTTGCACTTTAAATTAGTCTTAAAACTAACAGAATTTGTTAGCAAAGTTTCAAGTAAATTTAAAGATTCAAGAAAAACCTAACAATTTTTGCTTAATCGAAAATGCTTTAAAATCTGAATTAGGAAATTTATAATTTTGAAAAGTAGGTAACTGGTCTAATCACTGTAAAATGACAAGGAAAATTATTTACTGAATAAAAAAAATAATATTAATAAGTCAGTGTTAAAAGGTATATTTTTTCCCGCACAAATGTCCAAATAATAACTCATCAGGAATGTATTATGACTTTATATATATGAAATTTTGTTTATCTACCTATTATAAATCTGTATTAATTATAAATATGTAAAAATGTATTCCAGATTTAACCCATCTTTGCAAATCCTAGATTAAAGGTACATTAATATTAATGTAACTTAAATTGTTACTTTTTACTATTTAATCCTCATAAACGTAAAGCATATAACAAGAAAGTTGAATCAGAATTGATGTTCTACATCCCACCTTATTGTTAAGAAATAACATGCTGATAAGCTGGTTTATTATATCTGAAAGTAGATAACCTAAAATTCAGAAAAGCATCAAATCAAACAATTAGGGGGTTAAAATTTTTTGGAAACTAATAATGTTGGTAAAATTTTAATTAGAGGGTCGCAAAATTTACCTGTGCTGAACAGAAGTATATTATTTAAAATAAATGAGCAATGATTTTATGCTGTAATAATATATTACTTTTAATGAGTGTGAAATAAATGAAAGAGTTATTAACACAGAGAGTGAGAATATTCAAGTGATGCAGGAAATAGTTTGGTTAATTTTTGCCATCAAATGCAAGGAAAAGCTATCTGCTTATAGTTGAAGACCACATTCATTTTATGCGACCTTGGAAACTGTGATGACATGGATATGTTCCTCTTACTGATTTGAAATCTCTTAAAGTTTCCCACAATATTCAGACACAGGACAGGTCCTGGGTCCGATCCTTGGGCCGGGTCGATAAATGAGTACCAAGCATGTTTGGGAACTAAACATTGGGGGTTTCGGTTGATCACCTGACCGGAACATCTGCCCCTGCACTCTAGAGCCCAAGGTCAAGAAAACTGAGACAGGCACAGTAGGCCTTTGCCCTATATGGCCTGTCGCACCACTGAGCTTAGTTAACAATATTTCAGACAAATAAAAGAAATTTTTATTGATAAACAAGAAAGAGATAAAAGGAAAATTATCGTCCTTTTAGGTATATAGCAGATTTTAATTTTTTTTTCTTATTTGTGAAATTTAAAAAATTATTATGACTATGTAATTTAACCTCAAAAAATAAACCCCCTCAAAAATTTGGCCTCTGTTATACTTATGTGTGATGGTATACAAATAATGTTAGAACTGTTTGGAACAATTACCATACCTGTTTGCCGAAGTGAATGACCCAAGTGTTTGTGAATAAAAAATCATAGAAAGAGGAAATCTCTAAAAGTGAAACTGGGAGCTTTCTAAATTTGGACCTGTTCAACGCTCCCATCATCACCAAAATGCCAAATAGTTTTTGTACTTGTAATATGTTTAAAAAAAGGAATAGTGTGGTTTGCTATGGGGTAGCTATGAGTTTTACAATTTGAGTTAATCTCCTTTCGTAATGTTTTTATTTATTTATTTTTTATAGTTTCTCACAATTATCTTGTCATTTGTTACCAAAAGTATATTTTATTATATTTATGCAACTACCTGTAAGAACTGGCATACCTGGAAGGTATGGACTGGCATACTTTGTTAGGCAGTGAACACAACTTCTATAGGACACTATGAGGTATATTCAAAATAAATAATTAATAAATTGGAAAATTTTATTTTTTTATTGCCAAAATTTTTGCTTGTGAATTATTTTAAGCATTTGAAACTCAAGATTTGTTTATACTTATTTACATCTCTAAAAATAATACTACCTATATATGTATAACAGAATTTCCTACCTTCATCTGGAAGTTATACAGCAGGGGTTTCCAACTTACATGAAGCTGGGGGACGCAATTAAAAACACCAGTCGAATGGCGGGCCGCAACTTTATCAAAATTTTATATAGGACTCTGTTATATTTGAAGGTTATTCATTACCTCATTTATGCATTTTAAAACTTACAAATGTAAATAATTTCGTCCAAAATGAGTGGTTTCAAAAGTTAAATCGGAGAACTTCTTCGAGAAAATTTCTGATACGCACATGCTGAATTATATTCACAAAATACATAAATAAAATTAAGAAAACGAAACATAAAAGAGCAACATGCACCATTATTTTTGTATTTGAATAAATATTTTCTTGGATGCAAAACCGGAGAAATAAATTTTTTTGCGCCATTGGAATTCTAAGTTTCATAGAAGTAAAGAAATTAGGGTGTTTTTAGGGAAAGAGAAGTATTTTAAACCCATATAGATTTTTTACGAAAACTGTGCGTAAAAAAATGACAACTAATATATTTTAGTTCGCGGGCCACAAAAAAAGGCTTCACGGGCCGGATGGCAGCCAGTTGAAAACCACTGTTATACAATTTTTAGATTTACTGATTCCCATAATTTTATTTAAACTTATTTATTTATTTGTTTAAACTTATTTGCAAATATAAAAATGATATTATGTAAGCATAACAGAATTAGTTAACTTTATCTAGAAATTATGCAAATTTTAAATTATCTAAAATTATTCAATTTTCAAAATAAATACAAATAAATGAGTCATTGATTGCAATTGAACTTGTAATGAGTGAAGTGCAATAACTTTGATAATATTTTAAAAAATGCTAAAACCAAAAAGATATCAATAAATCCTAAGAAAATTTTTTTCTTATAAACAGTTCCCATAGTTTCTCATGTGATTTAAATTAAACTAATACATTAACATTATATTTTTTAGATTAAATTTAATTATGTTAAATTTTTATAAAGAATACCTTTCTATTTTGGATGTAAATACTTGATTTAGGAAAAACAATTTATGCAAAATGAATACATAAGGAAAAAAAACTCAATTATAAAAATTGAACGAATTTGTCTCAAAATTAAAAATTTTATAAAATAAGTATATTTTAAAAGTTGAATAAAATTCCCTTTTTAAGCAGGATGCATTATTTCCAATCTGAAATTGATCTGTTAACATATATCTTTAGTAATTTATCTAAAAATTATTTTAAAAAGAAGGGATCCTTTTATTTTATAAAATTGCTTACATCGTTATAAAACTTGGAAAATTATAGATTGTAGCTCTCCAAATTTCAGCCGCATGAGAACAAGTAGTTCAATTTTAAAAAATAATGCTATGTCTAATCAGGAAGCAGAACATATAGATTGTTTAGAATAAACATTAATATTTAATCTATTTCCACTGTGAAGTATAGGGTATCGCTTTCAAAACGAAAATAGAAATAACCTTTTTTTTTTACTGGAAAAAGGGAAACTTTTTTGTTTTTGGCTGTGAGTGTGAACTGAGGAAATAAAATTTCAAAATTATAGACCAGTATATTGCATTAAGTAGGTGATGTGGATATTAGTTTCTAGGAACTTACAGGTAAACCTTTACAGTACAGGTACTTGCTGTGACCTTTGACCTCTTCCACCCCCATTATGAGATGATCAGATGGAACAAAAAAAAATACTGTATTTCTTAAGAAATGAGGCATATGACCTACAAAATAAAATCTTATTACAAATCACTTATTTATAATTTTTTTAAGAAAAAAGAAGTCTTAAAACAAAATTATTATTGATTGCTTTTTTTTTTCTTCTTAGTTTTATTAAGGCCAAAGAGCCCACCAAGATGTGCCCTGGTGTCCCAGTCTATCCTTCAGAGATGATAGTGCTTCGGAAAAAATCTTGATTTTTAGCTAGCCGCAATCCAGAAGTTTCCGGAAATCCAAGGGTCAAGTGTAAAGAAATCATCGATCACATTTATGTATAAAAATTCAGGTATATTTTATTTAATAACATCTATTTAATTTGTAAATATTTTTTCTGGTAGAATAATAAATGTGATTAGA